ATACAGTAAAACCTTGATATAATGTCCATTGTTTATATATATACAGTAAAACCTTGATATAATGCCCCTCGTTTATATAAATACAGTAAAACCTTGATATAATGTCCAACGTTTATATAAATACAGTGAAACCTTGATATAATGTCCATTGTTTATATATATACAGTAAAACCTTGATATAATGTCCATTGTTTATATATATACAGTAAAACCTTGATATAATGCCCCTCGTTTATATAAATACAGTAAAACCTTGATATAATGTCCCTCGTTTATATATACAGTAAAACCTTGATATAATGTCCATCATTTATTTATACAATAAAAACCTTGATATAATGTCCATCGTTTATAAATACAGTAAAACCTTGATATAATGTCCATTGTTTATATAAATACAGTAAAACCTTGATATAATGTCCATCGTTTGCCACCTAACTTCCTGTCAACATATTTCAAGGTCTTCCTTCTGTTTTTCAATTGATCACCAAACACATTAATTAAAATTTCTCTGGACAACAGGTGGCAGTATGACGAGGGTTAACTGTGCATTCTTACTTGAAATAGATGGCACGGTCGGGAGCCACTGTGATGAGCCAGGTGCAGTTAGCGTTGTGATGGTACTGCGACGGCTGCTGCGGAGTTTGGATATATCCGTACACACCTGTGTAAATTCCGCCACATTCTGTACAACAGACAAATCATATTTGAATAATAACGGGAAACATTTTATCAATGACATTCATGATTGATCATTCCTTACACGGAACCAGAGGTATCTCCGATAGTTATCTTTTTGGGACAATTCAACAATGGGCCTGTATCGTTCAGTTGCCATTCATTCTACACCTGTGTCCTTCAAAGGTAGTCAAGGTCAAATTAGAAAAAGCTGTTTAAAAAAATATTTACACATTTGACTTCTGCAACCTTGGAAGTTGAGCAAGGTATTTAATTTGAATAAACAGCCCTTTACTCCAGCATGTCACTGGCCATTATCATCACAATAAGTCTTTTGGTTATTCAGAAGACGTCATATAAAGTGATCTGGAATATAAGTCACGGTCACAAATGTTTGCATTCAATGTTAGCACACTGTTGTAAAAAACAAAGTCATGACTTTACGCAACTTGGTTCTTTAGGTGAAGATGTTTTAGCGTTTTAACATTCAATTTGAATCAAATTGTATTGTAAAGGCCCCATATTTGCCATTTTCTTGACAGATTTTGTTTTCTTCACATACTTTGTAGACCTTATACTAAGGACGCAACAAAATAAATATCAAATCATACGACTGCTGGTTTGTTGCTAGATCATATTTGCTCAGATTCTTTGTATTTGACAAAACACTAGCTAAAACGACTGTCTCAGTATAGCTATTTTTTCTGAAAATTATCAGTATGTGCCCTGAGGCACAACGCATTCGACAACTCCTGTCACAAGTTTTTTTTTTACGATTCACTGGGTGAACATCATGTAAGCGACGTAGCTCAGGTAAGGCCTGTATACGGAAGTATTTTGGAGAATATTTACACGATTCCTGCCAGAAAATGGATTCGCGTTCCGCAATAAGAGGAATCAGTATTGGGAAGTTCATTATTATTATTACTACTGTATAATAGAGAAAAAAACGATTCTGTACATTGCCATTTTTGTCAGTATCAAGTGTGATTGATTTTGAGAAAGATCGGTATAGGGAAGTTCCACTGTAGATAGAGAACAAATAGCAACCAATTGCACAAAGCTAATACTTGGCCTTTTGAGTCGGATAAGCTAAAGTATACTCCATGGTGCACTTGACTCACCAGAGGTTCGATAGTCCAGGATGAATCCACGCGCGACGATGGACTGGTCTGTTCGGAACTGGAGAAACATGGTGCCCAGTGAACTTACGGCTTGTGGGATTGTGTTACCGCAGAACTTGCCTAGACGTCGCCCGGAGGAACTGTTTCCAGTAAACGCCTGGAGGTAGTCATATTGACACCTGCTGCCTCCTGCTAATTTAAATTGGACTTCATGGTAAAAATCATTTGCAGCATTGGTGTAAAAACCCGCCATCTTTACGATAAGGATTTTGAAAAAGTTAACTTCAACTCTACGATGATCCTTGTTTAGACCTGTCCCTTACCCCTCTCAAAAGCAACCATCTTCATTATACCTTCTTGGCCAACAAGAGTGTTTAATCTACCAATAGGTTGAAATAACCATATTTTGCCACTTCTCCCTATTTTGGAGGGAGACTCCCTATTTTGGAGGGAGACAGTGAGTGACTTGAATGAGTGAATGAGTCCCTACTTTGGAGGGAGACTCCCTATTTTGGAGGCAGACAGTGAGTGAGTTGAATGAGTTAATGAGTCCCTATTTTGGAGGGAGACTTCCTATTTTGGACGGAGACAGCGAGTGAGCTGAATGAGTGAATGAGTCCCTATCTTGGAGGGAGACTCCCTATTTTGGAGGGAGACGTCCTATTTTAGAGGGAGACAGTGAGTGAGTTGAATGATTGAATGAGTCCCTATTTTGGAGGGAGACTCCCTATTTTGGAGGGAGACGTCCTATTTTAGAGGGAGACAGTGAGTGAGTTGAATGAGTGAATGAGTCCCTATTTTGGAGGGAGACGTCCTATTTTGGAGGGAGACAGTGAGTGAGTTGAATGAGTGAATGAGTCCCTCTTTTGGAGGGAGACTTCCTATTTTGGAGGGAGACAGTGAGCGAGTTGAATGAGTGAATGAGTACCTATTTTGGAGGGAGACTTCCTATTTTGGAGGGAGACAGTGAGTGGGTTGAATGAGTGAATGAGTCCCTATTTTGGAGGGAGACTTCCTATTTTGGGGGGAGACAGTGAGTGAGTTGAATGAGTGAATGAGTCCCTCTTTTGGAGGGAGACTTCCTATTTTGGAGGGAGACAGGGAGTGAGTTGAATGAGTGAATGAGTCCCTATTTTGGAGGGAGACGTCCTATTTTGGAGGGAGACAGTGAGTGAGTTGAATGAGTGAGTGAGTCCCTATTTTGGAGGGAGACTTCCTATTTTGGGGGGAGACAGTGAGTGAGTTGAATGAGTGAATGAGTACCTATTTTGGAGGGAGACTTCCTATTTTGGAGGGAGACAGTGAGCGAGTTGAATGAGTGAATGAGTACCTATTTTGGAGGGAGACTTCCTATTTTGGAGGGGGACAGTGAGTGAGTTGAATGAGTGAATGAGTACCTATTTTGGAGGGAGACTTCCTATTTTGGAGGGAGACAGGGAGTGAGTTGAATGAGTGAATGAGTCCCTATTTTGGAGGGAGACTTCCTATTTTGGGGGGAGACAGTGAGTGAGTTGAATGAGTGAATGAGTACCTATTTTGGAGGGAGACTTCCTATTTTGGAGGGGGACAGTGAGTGAGTTGAATGAGTGAATGAGTCCCTATTTTGGAGGGAGACGTCCTATTTTGGAGGGAGACAGTGAGTGAGTTGAATGAGTGAGTGAGTCCCTATTTTGGAGGGAGACTTCCTATTTTGGGGGGAGACAGTGAGTGAGTTGAATGAGTGAATGAGTACCTATTTTGGAGGGAGACTTCCTATTTTGGAGGGAGACAGGGAGTGAGTTGAATGAGTGAATGAGTCCCTATTTTGGAGGGAGACTTCCTCTTTTGGAGGGGGACAGTGAGTGAGTTGAATGAGTGAATGAGTCCCTATTTTGGAGGGAGACTCCCTATTTTGAGCATGAATTTGCTATTTCCATTTTCAAAGTGATGGTTCCCCCTAGGGTGTACACACACACATGTTATTGATGTTTTAATTTAAAGCATGTGTGATCTCCCCCATTGTTATTACAAAAAGTTGGCAAGGATGATAATTGTTTTAAAATGAATAAAGTTTATGTTTTGTTACCATTGAAGCATTAAGGTAGGGTAACTTTGGCAGAGTGGAATTTGAGATCCCCCCCCCCTTTTAAAATAAATATTTTTATTATTTTTTCAAGAGTATTTTTGAATGGAATTGGGGGGGGGGGGGGGGAATAATAAAAAAAACTTGAATAAATAAAAATATTTAAACTTTGTTGATTAATCTTTTTCAAAATAAAAATACTAAAATCAGTAAATCAGTTCAGCCATTCTGGATAAGAAGAATTTTGATAAAAATAACCATGCCATAGGAATGATATCCATTGATTAAGAGATTTCATTAAAAAAAGGAAGCTTACCTTCTAGTTCAAACACAATGAAGTTTAGGACAATAAAACGCTGTGGGTCTGTCTTGATGGTGTAGTTACATAGAAGGCCATTCTCGTACTGCTGGGGATATCCAGGGGAGAAAATTCTACCCGTCAACTCTGTGAACTCTGACCCACAACCTGATAATAAAGAATTACAAATGAAGGGAAAATTGTTAATTAAATTTAAATACGGCAAACCTGATAAAATAAGATTGACAAGAGATTTATTTTTGTGAACAAAAACATGTCTTTTCATATCAGCACATCATCTGTGGGTGATGCAGGTATACTACAAGGTTTTTATATATTTCGATGGTTTAAAAGTTATGACCTGGACAAGATGTTCCTGAAAATTTTGCACTTTTTTGACATTTGAAATTGAGGTCAAGGCCACAGTGGCCTTATGACAGTGCACTGCACATTGTCTGTGAGTGATACAGGTATACTGCCAGATTGTCTGAGTGATGCAGGTATACTGCCAGATTGTCTGTGAGGGATGCAGGTATACTGCCAGATTGTCTGTGAGTGATGCAGGTATACTGCCAGATTGTCTACTGTTTAAAAGTTAAAAAACCTCTATGATGACTAAAATATGCTCCAGACCAAAATGATTAAAAATCTCTTCAACCACGGTGGACTTGCAGTGTTTTAAATGAGAAGATGATGGCAGACAATGGGGGTCCTATCTAGTAATATTTATTAATACCTGGCCTCTTCTGCCACGGCCGGGTATTAAATCAATCCCATGCCTTGTAATGGAGCAAGCCAGGTGTGAATCACACCAGGGCGATTTTAGAATCAATTAACAGCACATTGGTCCGCATCCATAAATAGGGTTGTAGTATAAACTATTTCTGTTGATATCCTGTATACCTTGAAGTTAAACTCTGCCTAAATTGTCGTTAAATTATCAAGTTAACGTAGCAAGCGCAATCGAAATCTGAATTGACCGCCATGTTGGAAAGTTCGTCTCTCTTCCGATATAGGTCAGACGTCTAGGTATAGGTGTCATGACCCAATATGGAACTTGTAGTAAACATGGCGGCATCAGTGGTAATACTATATTTGGCGTTGCAGGCCATATATATATATGATCTGTCATGGCGGTCGTTTCTATTCTTCTCCCCAAGATGGAATAGTTTTTTCATTGGTAAGGACTTGTTTTTTCAACAATTATGCAATATTTTGTTACATTATACTCATATGAGACGTGAATTATATGTAATCTTACAGATTAACACTTTTTATTTTTCTCCGTTTATTGGCGTAGGACCGCTTCGTAGCTCTGATCCTATCATGCAATAATCTCAGTTGTCCTTAATTTGTTGATTTCTGTTTCTGTTGGTTCAGGAGAATAAGTCGGCAGAAATTCAGATGAGCAGCCACAATAAGGCCTAAACTCCACCTGGTCTTACTGACCCATTAAGCTAAAAACATGTATATCAGCATATAAGTATTTTATTGTGACTACCTAATCGCTGACCACCGGTCAAGGCAGCTGGTCAAGTCAGGCTCAGAGATGCTTGGGCATTAGTGGTGGGGCTCAAAGTGTTTAAGTTTAAATCTATAATTAGGAGGCACGGTAGTCTAGTGGTAGGACGCTGGGTTCGAGTCGCGGCACAGCAGCTGTGTTGTATCTTTGAGAAAGATACGTTACTCCGCTTGTTCCAGTTTACTCATCTGTAAATGAGTACGTGGTTGGGCAGTGCTAGATTTGTTGAATGCTAGCTGAGAGTGCCGAAATGGCAGCACTGGCTGTATATATGCTCCTCAGGGAGTTGAGAAAGATATTGGCTAGTTGCAAAGGCCCTTTAACCACGGATGATAATTTGTGAACCGCTTTGAGACGACCTACAAACTAGGTTGTGATAAAGCAGTATTGAAGAACCTCAAATTATTATTATTATTATTATTATTATATACCACTGACAGCGGTCAGTGAGGGCCCCATATACCACTGACAACGGTCAATGAGGGCCCCATATACCACTGACAGCGGTCAGGGAGGGCCCCATATACCACTGACAGCGGTCAGGGAGGGCCCCTTATACCCCTGACAGCGGTCAGTGAGGGCCCCATATACCCCTGACAGCGGTCAGTGAGGGCCCCATATACCACTAACAGCGGTCAGTGAGGGCCCCATATACCACTGCGAGCGGTCAGTGAGGGCCCCATATACCACTGACAGCTGTCAGTGAGGGCCCCATATACCACTGACAGCCGTCAGTGAGGGCCCCATATACCACTGACAGCTGTCAGTGAGGGCCCCATATACCACTGACAGCCGTCAGTGAGGGCCCCATATACCACTGACAGCGGTCAGTGAGGGCCCCATATACCACTAAGGAGGAACAATAGAAGGTCTAAAGAACAAAACAATTAGCCTACAATATCGCAGCCAATCAAAAGCAATGTTGGCCATCTTGGATCTCAGAATCCTAATAATATCAAATTATTCTATCAAATTATCCATCAAATACCAAAATGTAAGATCAGAAAGGGCAGTACAATGTATTTATTTACCCTACCCTGTTCTATTTTTAGTAACAATCAACTTGACCTTGACCTTAGGAACTTGTTACCCTTATAGCACATCTACAAATAACAGAGAAATACTGGTGAAATTTCAGAAATTTAAGTCTTCTAGATTCAGAGATTATCTCTGAAAAAGTAAGATTGGGCAGATGTCCAAAACAAAAAGAAGTTAGGAGCTTGCTGTTAAACAAAGAAATCGGCTTCTAAAGCACAAGGTTTGGGAGTGAACAGAATGAACCTATTGAACTTTATAGTGTTACGTAACACTTCTTCTAAGCTCACAAGAAACTAGATATTGGCTTGGTGAGACTTGACACAGATGACACTGTGAGAAGACCCTTGACCCGTCTCTGAAGTGTGGCCCACTTAGATCAGGACTATATACATACCTACAGTCCAGTTAGCAGAGAACCCATTGCCGTTTGTGTTGATATCCGAGCGGAACTTCACTACAAGTCGGTTCGTTGTCGAGTTCTGCTGTGGGGGAGTCAGATTACTGCACCATCTACCCAGGGGTAACAAGCTGCCGTTCCAGAGGCCGTTACTCACCTTAGAACAAAACAGTGTAGAGGTTTAATCTTTCAACTGATCTAGATTTTAACAAAAAGCCCATCAAGGTTTGTGTTACTTACCTGTTATCAAACTTTTCACTCTAACCAAACTACAGTATAATAAGTTTTATGACTCACAAGAAGTTGATTGAAAATTTTCAAGATTCAGTCAACATAACTTCTTACACTCATCCTTCAACACAGCAAATGACATTTTGGTTCTTCAGAATAACTTTTTTAAAGTTTTTAACATTTTGTGACTCCCTGTGACCTTTATTATCAGGTCAAACTTGATAGTACTTCACTCCAGCATGCTTCAAGCCAAATATCATGAGCGCAGGCCGTATGGTCCATTAGAAAATGCCATTGCATGAACACATTGATAACAAACAGATAGACCATCAGCAGAATTACATTTTGTTTTCAAGATTTGACAAAAGAAGAGATGAATTAATGAAGTACTTGCAGTGATGTCATTTTGCATACATGTCATATTGAACGATTTGACTCATGAAAATGAATCAGGGAGTCAGACACATTTCTCAAAAATTTCAATCAGTCCTACGAAAAACGAAACAGATTTTGGTCTAGAGAAGAAACAATAGCTATACATGGCTTCACACTGACCTTGGTCACTGAGAGGTCTTAAACCACAGGCTAGACACTCCAATTGCATGCCTTTCCATATCTACCAATCATATTGACCACCATGTCAAATTTCAGAAAGATTCCGAAATAATCTAGGAAACGAAAGTGTGGACGGACGGACACAGTAATTACTATAGGGCACCTGCACTGCCGATGCGGGGCCCTAATAATCCTTCTAAATGAAATATCCTGACGGCTTATGACCCTTTCACCACTGTAGACCATAATGGACTCATCCATATCAATGCATGGTAGAGTCTACTCAAGTTACATAGGGGTGAAAGGGTTAAAATGTCCTAGTCAAAGTAGTCTGCCTGAATTCCCATCAGTTGTACTTTGATCATACATATAGAGGAGTAGATGTTTGGTTAATTACCATAAAACCTCTTTATATCTCCCCTCATTGTATTTGAAGGTCCTTTTTCATTTTTTTTTTTATTAACTCATTCACCCCTGAAGACACATTTGAACTCTTCCAATTCAAAGGTTGGAATAGTTCATTATGAAATTTCAGGGGTGAATGAGTTAATCCCTTTATATCTATTTCTCCCTTGATAAATCGTCAAACCTCGTCATATATGTAATAATAAGTTTTCAATGGAGAACTGCTGTGCAAAAAATTAACAAGGTCATTGTGAATACTGTAGTAGCGATAAAATTTTGATGAACAAATTAATGCAGAAGTATCAAATTCTGTCCAGATTATCAAGTAAAATAAATAATTAATGTGTAAAAGCTGAAGAATTCTGTTGAGCAATTTTCTGCACTTCTCAAATACACTATACACTGCCTCTCTGATTAGAATGTCCGAAAGTCAAGTTGAATATTTTCTCTTTTTAAATACACTTATGATTCCTATTTCATCAAAATATTACAATATTTGTCACATTATCCTCGAAAATATTGCAATATATTGTAATGCATAATGCTTTACAGTACTTTAAATAGTGAAGGATGACGGTGACCATATCGAAGCATCACAGGAGTTGGAACTTCATGGGGTACATCACTCTGAGCAAGTCTTGTAAATTGGACAAGACTTCAAAATGGCATTACCTCGACATAATCCCAGCTACAAGCAGCGTGACTTTCCAGGTCAAATGGCGGATTGAAGGTCAAGGCTACGTGATAGCCTGGGGCGACATTGATGTCCCACACACACTCCGTCCTGTGTGGATAACTCTGAGGGTAGTTAGGGCTCGTAATCTGTCCGTCGTTCGTGTGGTATAACCCACCACACCCTTCAGAAAATACAATCTCAATTACAAGGTGATAAATATACAAGTTTACAACTCTACAAGGTTATCTCTACAAGGTTATAAGATAACCTATAATTATATTTATAGAATGTAAGTTATCCAGGCTCAACCACTTAACATCAAGTTATCCAGAATGTAAGCTATCAAGGCTCAACCACTTAACACTAGGTTAGGGAGAGTGTAAGCTATCCAGGCTCAACCACTTAACACCAGGTTAGCCAGAATGTAAGCTATCAAGGCTCAACCACTTAACATCAAGTTATCCAGAATGTTAGCTATCCAGGCTCAACCACTTAACACCAGCTTAGCCAGAATGTAAGTTATCAAGGCTCAACCACTTAACACCAGGTTAACAAGAATGTAACCTATCAAGGCTCAACCACTTAACACCAGGTTAGCCAGAATGTAAGTTATCAAGGCTCAACCACTTAACACCAGGTTAGCCAGGATGTTACCTATCAAGGCTCAACCACTTAACACCAGGTTAGCCAGAATGTAACCTATCAAGGCTCAACCACTTAACACCAGGTTAGCCAGAATGTTACCTATCAAGGCTCAACCACTTAACACCAGGATAGCCAGAATGTAAATTATCAAGGCTCAACCACTTAACACCAGGTAAGCCAGAATGAAAGCTATCAAGGCTCAACCACTTAACACCAGGTTAGCCAGAATGTAAATTATCAAGGCTCAACCACTTAACACCAGGTAAGCCAGAATGAAAGCTATCCAGGCTCAACCACTTAACACCAGGTTAGCCAGAATGTAAGTTATCAAGGCTCAACCACTTAACACCAGGTAAGCCAGAATGAAAGTTATCAAGGCTCAACCACTTAACACCAGGTAAGCCAGAATGTAAGTTATCAAGGCTCAACCACTTAACACCAGGTTATCCAGAATGTAACCTATCAAGGCTCAACCACTTAACACCAGGTTAGCCAGAATGTAAGTTATCAAGGCCCAACCACTTAACACCAGGTTAGCCAGAATTAAGTTATCAAGGCTCAACCACTTAACACCAGGTTAGCCAGAATGCGAGTTATCAAGGCTCAACCACTTAACCCCAGGTTAGCCAGAATGTAACCTATCAAGGCTCAACCAATTAACACCAAGTTATCCAGAATGTAAGCTAGCAAGGCTCAACCACTTAACACCAAGTTATCCAGAATGTAAGCTAGCAAGGCTCAACCACTTAACACCAGGTTACAAGGATTGATCATAATGGGTTTAACATCTTATCTACAGCTAAGGTCGTTTAAGGTAACTCTGAGGGTAGTTAGGGCTCGTAATCTGTCCGTCGTTCGTGTGGTATAACCCACCACACCCTTCAGAAAATACAAACTCAATTACAAGGTGATAAATATACAAGTTTACAACTCTACAAGGTTATCTCTACAAGGTTATAAGATAACCTATAATTATATTTATAGAATGTAAGTTATCCAGGCTCACCCACTTAACATCAAGTTATCCAGAATGTTAGCTATCCAGGCTCAACCACTTAACACCAGGTTAACCAGAATGTAACCTATCAAGGCTCAACCAATTAACACCAAGTTATCCAGAATGTAAGCTATCAAGGCTCAACCCCTTAACATCAAGTTATGCAGAATGTTAGCTATCCAGGCTCAACCACTTAACACCAGGCTAGCCAGAATGTAACCTATCAAGGCTCAACCAATTAACACCAAGTTATCCAGAATGTAAGCTAGCAAGGCTCAACCACTTAACACCAAGTTAGCCAGAATGTAAGTTATCAAGGCCAAACCACTTAACACCAGGTTAGCCAGGATGTTACCTATCAAGGCTCAACCACTTAAGACCAGGTTATCCAGAATGTAACCTATCAAGGCTCAACCACTTAACACTAGGTTAGGGAGAGTGTAAGCTATCCAGGCTCAACCACTTAACCCCAGGTTAGCCAGAATGTAACCTATCAAGGCTCAACCAATTAACACCAAGTTATCCAGAATGTAAGCTATCAAGGCTCCACCACTTAAGACCAGGTTAGCCAGAATGTAAGTTATCAAGGCCAAACCACTTAACACCAGGTTAGCCAGACTTAAGTTATCAAGGCTCAACCACTTAAGACCAGGTTAGCCAGAATGTAAGTTATCCAGTCTCAACCACTTAACACCAGGATACAAGGATTGATCATAATGGGTTTAACATCTTATCTACAGCTAAGGTCGTTTAAGGTAACTCTGAGGGTAGTTAGGGCTCGTAATCTGTCCGTCGTTCGTGTGGTATAACCCACCACACCCTTCAGAAAATACAATCTCAATTACAAGGTGATAAATATACAAGTTTACAACTCTACAAGGTTATCTCTACAAGGTTATAAGATAACCTATAATTATATTTATAGAATGTAAGTTATCCAGGCTCACCCACTTAACATCAAGTTATCCAGAATGTTAGCTATCCAGGCTCAACCACTTAACCCCAGGTTAGCCAGAATGTAAGTTATCAAGGCTCAGCCACTTAACACCAGGTTAGCCAGAATAAAAGCTATCAAGGCTCAACCACTTAACGCCAGGTAAGCCAGAATGAAAGCTATCCAGGCTCAACCACTTAACACCAGGCTAGCCAGAATGTAACCTATCAAGGCTCAACCAATTAACACCAAGTTATCCAGAATGTATGCTATCAAGGCTCAACCACTTAACGCCAGGTTAGCCAGAATGTAAGTTATCAAGGCTCAGCCACTTAACACCAGGTTAGCCAGAAAGTAAGTTATCCAGGCTCAACCACTTAACACCAGGTAAGCCAGAATGTAAGCCATCAAGGCTCAACCACTTAACACCAGGTTAGCCAGAATGTAACCTATCAAGGCTCAACCACTTAACACCAAGTTATCCAGAATGTAAGCTATCAAGGCTCAACCACTTAACACCAGGTTAGCAAGAATGTAACCTATCAAGGCTCAACCACTTAACACCAGGTTAGCCAGAATGTAAGCTATCAAGGCTCAACCACTTTACACTAGGTTAGCCAGAATGTAAGCTATCAAGTCTCAACCACTTAACACCAGGTTACAAGGATTGATCATAATGGGTTTAACATCTTATCTACAGCTAAGGTCGTTTAAGGTAATATAAGGTTAACGTCGACAAGAATACAAGGTTAAAGGTTAAAAGTTACATGGACATAAGGTTAAAGGTTACATGGACATTAGGTTAAAGGTTACATGGACATAAGTTTTAAAGTCACTTTATAGTGCCTTTATTTCGCGGGGTTTATATTTCGCTATATTCGCAAAGGAACGCTAGGACTAGAAAAGAAGGGTGATGATGGGGCCCGAACATCAAGCCTTGCATTTTCAACCACCGGTTAAGCGACATTTTCTATTTATTAACAAACAAATGCCAAATCTGAATTCCTTGGATATAATCTTCATTGAATTGTGTTCACGCATATCATAACTTACCTTCATCAAAATACATGAACCGTGGCGTGAATAGTTTAACCCCCTCAATGGCACCTAATACTAGTACCATACGTAGGTAGACGTTCACAGGAACCGTTCAAACGCAAACTTACTCTGTTTTGGATCTGTGTTACGCGAATTAAGACCCCGGGAAGATTTGACACTGCGAAATTGAAGCACTTTACAGTCCATGGATATGAAGTTAAAGTTTAAAAGGACATAAGCAAAAACTTGTCCTGAGATCAAATGAAATGCCCACTGGAAAATCCCTAACACATAGCTACTCACTCTTTAAGTTACATCAGCTATGTCCTTCAGACAACAGACTCACTCATCTAGTGACGTGACATCTGCGGTTGTTAACCCTTTTAACACAAAACCTGTGCTATCTGCAAAGTCGGCAGAAGACATTTTCATATGATTTTAGTGTTATATCGACTTTACAAAAACAAGCCATACCTCCGGACTGAAAGCTGTAGGTCAGACGAAAGCCCTGAGAGCTAATGGAGACATCCGCCTTGAAGATCAGACGGATGGCACTGTACTGGGATGTGAATGTAGGGGGTGCTGTCGTTCCGCAGAATTTGCCAACAGATGGGGAATCGACAAAGGGGCCATTAAACAACTCAACATAGTCAAAAACGCAGTTGGGATGTTGTTCCAAGCTGAAGTTGGTAAATTCTACCTGTTACAAAACAAGTGACACACACAATATACAAATAAAAAAATCAACTCCCCAACAACTTGAAAACAGTATACATAATTAGAAAAAGGGAAAAAGAAAAAGTCTTTGTCACCTGGTACTCCTAGGCGATAACTCATCCAAGTACTAATTACCAGGCTTAATGTTGCTTAACAGTTCTCTAACAAATATTTCATCTAGTAAGGTTACATCATGTTATACCTATATACATCATGTTATACATCATGTTATACCTAACTACATCATGTTATACATCATGTTATACCTACCTACATCATGTTATTTCTACCTACATCATGTTATACCTACCTCATCAAGTTATACATCGTGTTATACCTACCTACATTATGTTATATCTACCTACATCATGTTATATCTACCTACATCATGTTATAACTACCTACATCATGTTATACCTACCTACATCATGTTATACCTACCTACATCATGTTATATCTACCTACATCATGTTATATCTACCTACATCATGTTATACCTACCTACATCATGTTATATCTACCTACATCATGTTATACCTACCTACATCATGTTATATCTACCTACATCATGTTATACCTACCTACATCATGTTATATCTACCTACATCATGTTATACCTACCTACATCATGTTATATCTACCTACATCATGTTATACCTACCTACATCATGTTATATCTACCTACATCATGTTATACCTACCTACATCATGTTATATCTACCTACATCATGTTATACCTACCTACATCATGTTATATCTACCTACATCATGTTATACCTACCTACATCATGTTATATCTACCTACATCATGTTATACCTACCTACATCATGTTATATCTACCTACATCATGTTATACCTACCTACATCATGTTATATCTACCTACATCATGTTATACCTACCTACATCATGTTATATCTACCTACATCATGTTATATCTACCTACATCATGTTATACATCATGTCATACCTACCTACATCATGTTATATCTATCTACATCATGTTATACCTACCTACATCATGTTATATCTACCTACATCATGTTATACCTACCTACATCATGTTATATCTACCTACATCATGTTATACCTACCTACATCATGTTATATCTACCTACATCATGTTATACCTACCTACATCATGTTATATCTACATACATCATGTTATACCTACCTACATCATGTTATATCTACCTACATCATGTTATATCTACCTACATCATGTTATACATCATGTTATACCTACCTACATCATGTTATACATCATATTATACCTACCTTCACCATGTTATACCTACCTACACCATGTTTTATCTACCTACATCATGTTATACCTACCTACATCATGTTATATCTACCTACATCATGTTATATCTA